TTTTACTCTCTCTCCCCTCCACATCTGTCATTTCCTTTCTCTTTCTGCCCCATCACTCTCCAAGCCACCTGCCTGCTTCCCCCCACACGAGTAACAGTGACAGCTCTTCAGGAATCACAGCAGATCTCCCAACTATGGAGATCAGTTCCCTTAGGATTACCAGCTCCAGGTTGGGAAATTCCTGAAGAGTTGGGGGTGGAGCCTTGGGGACGGAAGCAACCTCATCAGAGTATAATGCTATAGACTCCATCCTCCAAAGTAGCTATTTTCTCCAGGGGAACTGATCTCCATCTTCTAGTGAGCTGTTGTGATTCCGGGTGATCTCTAGCCCTCACATGGAGGCTGGCAATGTTAGTTCCCGTGGAAGAAATGGCCACATTGGACAGTGGAGTCTATGGCATTATACCTCTCCAGGTTTGTAGAAAGATCTGTCTTGCCCACTCATAGATCTAGTCATTGGACTTCAGTATCCAAAGATTTGGCCAACGTCGCTGTTAGACTATAAGATAAAAACCTAAGTTATGAAACAACCAATGTAATTGAAAACAAGACATGGCTCGCTTTTATTTACATGGCTCACTGCAAAGCCTCATTTTATCCATTTTTCCTCAGAGCTAAAATTCAAATATTGTACTCTGAAGATGTCTTTCTGTGATCATTATAGAATCAAGAAATACAAACACAATAGGCAGGAAGCTAATACCTAGGATAACCTAGGCTACTACATAATCCCTGTCAACACACATTCATCCTGATTCACCTGACATGTCTTTTGTTTACATGTCTTTTGTTTACATGTCTTTTGTAAACTACAAATATACTCTAGAACTCTCTCCTACAGCCACAGACTACACAGAAAGATCCATAATTGCCTTTCAGAGATGCCAGGACACCATTACTGATGGTCTCACTGAGGAATTCTGATAAGCTTAAGTAACCCTGGAGACATAGCCTGAACACCCCTGAACTAGATCAGCAGTATTCCCATTGTTAGAATGCACTGTTAACACTGCTGAGCTAAAAGTTGTCATTTTGTCCATACTGTGCTCTTTTTCTAATTTTTTCTTGTCATTTGTTCAAAGTTCTGTGTAACAAAAGTAGTTGTATCAGAGGTTGGAAATCAAAATCCACTAATAGGTGTTTAGAAGGCCTGGAGACGTCTGTTATTCATGGAGTTTGGTCTCCTACATTCACCGAGGTGTGTATCTTTGGTAAACTCTTGGATTCTTTACTGCACCTTGACTCTCAAGTCACATGAATGCTCAGAAATGTCTGTAACCTACTTTCCCTAATTCAGACATGGCAGCCATTATTCAAATCTTTGTAGCCTCAAGGACCAACATTGATGCACGGTTTGACTACTCAGAAATACTCTTGGAAGCTGCAGCTGTTGAACCTGGAAGAGCATATTTCAAGGAAAGCAGCTAACCAAAAGTACACTAAACATATGCCACTATTTGTGTTAGCTTCCTATCACTTTTCACAGATTAAGTTCAAGTGTCAGTCTTAACTTCTGCAGTTTTGACTGTGTTTAAAAACCAGATCTTTCTCTAGACCTCCTTTTGATCAAAAACATCAAGGGGATCCTCTGAAAAAAAGCTTACCAAATTTACACTTGAAGGAGCCTTTGGAGTAGGGCGGGATATAAATTTAAAGATAAAATAAAATAAATAAATAAACAAACAGCTGTTTTTAAGTGATTGCTCAACATTCTTAAGGATCCCATCCTAAGCATATTTTAAAAGCACTGTCTGGCATTCAATGGCTGAACACATTTGCAATTTAACATATATTTTACACTTCTACTCAGCCTGAGCCTGTTAAAGGGCAGAATATATGGGAAAGCATAGCACTGATTATACTTTTTCTAAGCACATTAAAAAAGCCATCCTGCATGCCAAAGGTTACACCATTAGATGTTTGTAGTCTGTTTTTACAATAAGCCAGGTTTGATCCATTTATATTTAATTTTATTTAAAATATTTCTAGGCTGCCTTTCCACCCAATTCAGCATTCCCAAGGTACCAAACACACACACAAAAAATATTTAAAGCAATAAATGAAAACATAAATATAAACACATAAACAGGAAGGAGGGCTAATAAGAGTCAGTGTGGGAATGCCAGACAAAACAAAAAAAGTCTTTGCTGGCAGAAGACAACAACAGAGACAGATGACTCTCCATGGGAAGGAATTCCAAAGTTTTGGTGCCACAACTGAAAAGGGCCTTTCTTGGGTTGGAAACAAGATGGAACCTTGTGGAAGCCCATAGGCCAGAGGCCGAGAGGCTGAGCAGTGGTCCCCTGGCACAACACTCTGAAGTTTGCCTTTTAGGTAGGACCAAAGCCACTGCAAAATGGTGCCTCCCATATCAACCCAGAAAGGTGTTCCAAAAGAACACTATGAAAGATAGTACTGGAAGCTGCTGAGAGGCCCAGGAGAATTAACAGGGTTGCACTCCCCTGTCCATTTTAGATTATATCCTGCCTTTTCCTTTTAACCAGAACTCCAAGAGAATTATAGCTACTATAAAATTCCACAAAATGTTTATAAAGCAATCAATAAGAACATAAGACAATCAAAATGCCCTACCAGCAACAGTTATTCAGCTCCTTCCACAGAACAAAAAAATAAAATAAAATTGGCCACATTTTTAGACGTTCTCAAAGACTCCATTTGGTGGGCTGCTCTACGGAGGAAGCTCAACAAGGATACTATCACATGTTATTACCATAAGCCTAAAATGAAAATGGCTGTACATGGAGCAAAGCCTTGCTGGAAGATCTTGTGACACAGGCAGATTCATGGAAGTAGGCATTCTAGTCTCAGGTGCTCGGGTTCATGAGCAACTGTAAGAATAACTCTCTAATGTACAGGTTTGACAGAAGAGATTTACATTTAACCTGAACACTACAGCTTGAATACTCCTAATGGTTTTCAAGACGTATCAATTTCCACCTATCTGATAGACTTGTGTTATGAACAGATGTTGGTAAAGCTAAACAAACCTACAGTGAGAACTTAGAAATAATTTTCAAGTAAGGTGAAGAACCACTGTGTGCTTAAAACTGGGGAAGTGGGGGAGGAATGCAATTTTTTCCAGAGGAAGTGACATCAGCTCTGTCATTCTCTGAGCAAGATTACAATATAGCCATTAGAAATAAATACATAACAACAAATCACTATAGACTTTGATTTATAATTTAAAACCTACACACAGTTTCTCTTCAGTAGGCAGAAGAGGAGGAGGAAGAGGTGACTATTACCAGCCAAAAACTACTTTCAATGACTCATGGCTGACAATAACTCCACTACAAATCGGGGATTTCCTATCAGCACTCTAGGAGAACCTCCTACATAAAAATATGTAAGCTGTAGCAGAAACCATACAATTTCATGGATTTTCTCTCTTCTCCCTCTGATGCTTTCCCATGCCATGCCTCTAACATGCCTTTAACCTCCACTCTGAACCTTGCCAGTGTTTTGGAAGAAGGGATTGTCCTATAATACATTCTCTTCTTTCTCTGTTCCTATAGAATATTGCTGAGTACAGTGTTTTTGTGAGAGCGCATCTAATTCTCAGTGCTCCCAAAACAGCAAGCAGGCATTCATGGCTCTCTCAATTATCTCCTCTCCCCATATGACCCTTTCTTTATTCACTTATTGTCCAGAATGAGAGGCTGAAGGAGGAGGGAGAGAAAAGAAAGTGACAGACTCCTCCACCAATAACACACTAAAGTTGCTTCTTCCCCAGTTACTAAACCCAAGATGACAATGTAAACCTACCTGCCCTATGGCAAAACAGACCACTGGTCCTTCTAGCCCAGTAGTGTCTCTGACAAGCAGCAGCTAATACATCTTGCAGCTGTACCTGCCAGGGTCTGAACTTTGGCTCTTGAATACTGAAGTCCAGTAGCATCTTAAAGATTAGCACATTTATTTCAATATGAGCTATCATGAGGCAAATCTAACGTCTTCAGATATGCAAAAGAAAATCAATTTGGGAATTCTTATAGGGAAAATCACAGCTGAGGTAGACAGAGGCTTCATGCAAATCCCACCCAACATCTTTCCTGTCTGACTCTCAGTATAGAAGAAGAGATTGGATTTATACCCCGCCCTTCACTACCCAAAGGTGTCTCAGAGCGGCTTACAAATTCCTTTCCTTTCCCCTCCCCACAACAGACACCCTGTGAGGAAGGTGGGGCTGAGAGAGCTCTGACAGAAACTGCTCTTTCTTCACGGACAGCTGTTATCAGAACTATCGCTTGCCCAAGGTCATCCAGCCAGGTGCAGGTGGAGGATTGGGGAATCAAACCCAATTCTCCCAGATTAGAGTCTGTGCACTTAACCACTACACCAAACTGGCTCTCATATATAAGTGACTGGAACAGAATTAGCCTTTACACATAATGGCTGGTGACCTGGGTCAGAGGTACCAAAACACAAGTCCAGTGGCACTTACTTATTCAAGGTTTTGCAAGTCAGAGCCAAGGTCCTCAGTGACTGTTCTGTTTTGTTTTACTACAACAGATCAACACAGCTACCCCCCTGGAATCGCCACACAGGTTGCAGCCTCTCTTGGGGTACAGCGAAAATAATGGAGGATTAACACAACGGATTGGGAAGAAGCTTCGAATGACTCCTCCCCTCGGCTTCTTTAAGAACTCCATAAAAGGCAGAATTTCACCAGGTGCAGCACAGAACTGCAGCGACAGGAAAAGCCACACCTGGCAGGATTTCCCCCTTCTACGCTTACAGGGGCAGGAACCCTCTCGGGGTCTGTGGGCTGGCAGTTTTGCTACGGCAAGCGGATTTGCAGTTTACTTCCTTCTTCCTAAACAGAATACGCTTTAAGAAAACCTCTTGCTTCTTTCACTTTATCCTTTTCGTAGACAGTGCCTCGCACGCCAGCGGGGCGGTAGGGGCCCCCCCCCCCCCCGGGCTTCCCCCCCCCGCCAGTCCATGGGGGACTATGGCCAAAGCCTCTCGCTTCTTACCTCTTTTTTCACCTCTGCCATCTCATCTTCCGTAAGCGACCTCTCGGCAATCGCCGCCATTGGTGCCCCACAGCCCGCCATGGCAGAAGCACGGAGGCCACCGTAGACACAAGGAGCCAGCCCCGCACCGGCCAACCACCCGCAGCCGGCCTCCGAGGGAAAGTGGCCAACGCTTCCGGCGCAGAGGCGAACCTGGCCACGCCCCACTCAGGGAGGGCAAAGGTTCTCACGGTGGCTAACGGCGCGTGCGCACGGTTGCCGGCGCTGCTTCCCACTGACGGCTCACGGCAACTCTGGTCGTGCTTGCTTTCGTTTTTGCAGCGAAGAAAGTCTACTATTGGGCAGAGTCAGCATGTGTAAAAGGGCGCATCAGTGAAATGCAAGTTTAAATCGTCTGATTATGGATACGATAAATCCTATACAGAGTTCTTACAGGAAGAATTGGACTACAATAAGAAGAACAAAGTTTGAGTCCGGTGGCAACTTTAGGACGGAAAAATGTAAAAGTCGGATCTACATGGATCCTCATAAATTCATATGATTTTTACGTTGAAACGAAATAAAACTACCATCGTGTTGTAGGCCATGTGTTAATCTATAGGGGGCACCACAAAAATCACGCAGCCACAGATTCGTGGTGGCACCACAACAGCGCACACATGATTCAAAAGCACGGATCCTCATGAATTCATGTGATTTTTATGCTGAAACAAAATAAAACCACCATCATACTGCAGACCATGTCTTAGACTATAGGCAGCACTCCAAAAATCATGCCCCCAGGTGGCACCATAAAACTGCAAAAACATGGTTCCAAAGCACGGATCCTCATGGATCCTCAGGGTTTTTCATTTGGGTCACTCCAAACACACCATCAAATCACATAACACGTCCACGTCCACAGCTTGCACCACAAAAATCACAGATCCACGGCTTCGTGGTGACACCATTCTGCAAAAACATGATTCTGAAGCATGGATCCTCATGGATGCTTGGGTTTTTTTCTGTTGGGACACCACAAACATACCATGAAATCCCATATCATGTCCATGGCCCCTAGGACTCCAAGGCCACCACCCTGGGGCTCAGAGAGGTGGGAGAACATTTCACACCCCTCCTCCCCCCGCCGTTGCCGCTGCCATTAGCGCTGCTGGTGCTGCTGGCAGCCATAACTTTTAAAAGAGCCCCTAACAAGACCTGGGGAAGCCAGAATGACCTCTCGCGCATCACACGCGAAAGGTGGAATTTGCACCTAGAACTCCAAGGCCACCACCCCGGGGCTCAGAGAGGCAGGGGAACATTTCGCCGCCCCCCCCCGCCGTTGCCACTGCCATTAGCGCTGCTGGCGCTGCCAGCAGCCATAACTTTTTTAAGAGCCCTAACAAGACCTGGGGGAGCCAGAATGACCTCTTGCGTGTTTGCTCGGCCATCACACGCGAGAGGTGGAATTTGCCCCTAGGACTCCAAGGCCACCACCCCAGGGCTCAGAGAGGTGGGGGAACATTTCGTGCCCCTCCCCCATTGCCGCTGCCATTAGCGCTGCTGGCACTGCCGGCAGCCATAACTTTTTAAAGAGCCCCTAACAAGACCTGGGGGAGTCAGAATGACCTCTCGCATGTGATGGCCGAGCGGCAACGCCATCACACACGAGAGGTGGCATCACACACGAGAGGTGGCATTTGCCCCTAGGACTCCAAGGCCACCACCCCAGGGCTCAGAGAGGTGGGGGAACATTTTGCGCTCCCCCCCCTGCCGTTGCCATAAAGCCATGGATCCATGACTTTTGTGGTGCAGGCTGTTGCCATGGACATGATATTGATTTGATGGTGTGTTCATGGTGACCAAACACAGAAACCCTGAGGATCCATGAGGATCCATGAGGATCCGTGCTCTAGAACTGTGTTTTTGCAGAATGGTGTTGCAACGAAGCTGTGGATCCCTGATTCTTGTAGTACAAGTTGTTGCCATGGACATGTTATGTGATTTGATGAAGTGTTTGGGGTGACCCATTGCCAAAACCCCAAGGATCCATGAGGATCCGTGCTTCAGAACCATGTTTTTGCCGCATGGTGATGCTACGAAGCCGTGGATCCATGACTTTTGTGCTGCAAGCTGTTGCCATGGACATGATATTGATTTGATGGTGTGTTCATGATGACCCAACGATGAAAACCTGAGGATTCATTAGGTTCCATGCTCTAAAACCATGTTTTTACAGAATGTTGTTGCCACAAAGCCGTGGATCCATGATTTTTGTGATACAAGCTGTTACCATGGATATGTTATGTGATTTGATGTTGTGTTTGGGTTGACCCAATGCACCCCCCCCCCCCGAGGATCCATGAGGATACGTGCTTCAGAACCATGTTGTTGCTTCATAGTGTTGCCACGACATGTGATTTCTGTGGTGCATTCTGTGGCCATGGACATGATATGTGATTTCATGGTGAGTTCCTGGTGACCCAGTGCAAAAGAACTGTGTATACATGAGGATCTGTCCTTCAGAACCATGTTTTGGCTGCATGGTGGCACAGGGGATTTATCCTCTGGTTAAACATCTGAGCTGAACAGGACTGCTATCAGTTCGAGCCCCGCACAGTTTCTGTCAAGTTCTGTCCAGAGTTCTCTCAGCCCCACCTACCTCACAGGGTGTCTGTTGTGGGGAAGGGAAGGGAAAGGAGTTTGTAAGCCGCTCTGAGACACCTTTGGGTAGTGAAGGGCAGGGTATAAATCCAATATCATCATCATCATCATCATCATCATCATCTTCTTCTTCTTCTTCTTCTTCTTCTTCTTCTTCTTCTTCTTCTTCTTCTTCTTCTTCTTCTTCTTCTTCTTCTTCTTCTTCTTCTTCTTCTTCCTACCTTGGCACACTGTGCCAGGCAATGTGAGCCGCCCTGAGCCCGCTTGTGGGGAAGGCAGGTTATAAATACAACAAATAAATAAATGTGCAGTGAGATAAGAAACAATATCCCTGTTAAGTCCCAGGGATTTCATTGTTCTGAGTGTTGTAATAACTTGCAACTCAGCAATTTCCCTTTGATCAGTTGTTTGCACCTGTATTTTCTGGACCTGAATCGGAAGGCATACAATGGTAACATTACTCAGCATGTATGCATCTGAGTATGGGAGGCCTCATAAACATTCTCATGCCTTGTGTAAATTGATCTTAAACTCTTTGTTTGGTCCTACATCAATCATGAGCCTTTATGTACAAATGTTGCTTGACCACTGAGGAAGGCCTATTAGGGCCGAAACATGTCAGGTTGCAATAGTTAGTAAGGACAAAGAAGAAAAAGGGGGGGGGGAACTGAGCCTAAACCTAGAATTCAGAACCTAAAAAGGTTAGTCAGGAATAGAAAAGGGCCAACTCTAAAAATCTAATTATAAAATATACAAAAATATATATGTGTGTTTATTCAACATAAATTAAAATAACAAACAAGGGCCCATTCATACCTCATATAAAACTATAAAAACATACAAGGGCTAATAAGATAGACCTAATAAGATAGACCTAACGCGTTTCGGCCTTTACAGGCCTTCCTCAGAGGTCTAATACATACAGAACATATTGGCTGATGTGCAAAAATACATACAATCCTACATATACAAAATATGGAATAAAGACCAGAAATCAATTGATATGTAGGATTGTTTTATAGTTTTATATGAGGTATGAATGGGCCCTTGTTTGTTATTTTAATTTATGTTGAATAAACACACATATATATTTTTGTATATTTTATAATTAGATTTTTAGAGTTGGCCCTTTTCTATTCCTGACTAACCTTTTTAGGTTGCAATAGTTCCCACTTGTGTATATTGTCTTTTTATTCTGTAGTGAGGCTACAGTTGGACCCATAAATGTTTTTAATCCTTTGACAATAAATACATGTATTTTTTATATTAGGTTATACATATTGTTTTTAGTAATTGGCCCTATACTTGGTTTGTAACTAGCCTTTTTTGGTTCTTGATTCAATTTTTTGGGGGGGTTACTGAGGAGACTCCAGTCCACTGACTTCAACAGGGATCACTTCCAAGATCGTCAGGGTGATGCTTGTTTCCTGCTGCTCCAGACTAACAGGAGGTGGGGCAAGGAGAGTCACTCACTGAGAACCTGCCACCACCAAGCTTGGGTGGGGGAGCTTCCTCAAGATATGGAAAACCCAACCTTGGTTACTGGCAATGCTGAGCACCAGACAGGCCCAAGCAAGGCTCAGCTTTGTCTTGAGGCCTCTCTTGCCTCTCCACCACTGGGAGGCCCATGGCCACTCACCTCAGCCAGCTTCCCTCACCGCTGTTCCAGCTGAAGGCTCCCTCAGACCTCAAGTGCAGTTCCTGACACTGCCAACCCAGTCTCTTCTCCGCCATTAACTTCGGGTTCCTGGGTCTGTTGCTCAACCTCTTTCTGCCTGTCTTGCTTTGCCTCTGGCTGTCCATCCCAGTACTGAAGGGCCCCGATGGCACACATGTGCACTGGGCTGTGAGAGGGAGTGAAACCCTCAGACTGGCTTGCCAGGCAACCTTCACGTTTCCCATTTCCTCCTCCTCTGGTTCTCCACAATTCCTAGACAGGAAGTCAAGAGTGACAGAATCCAGACTGATGTCAAATGGGCATTTAACACTTTTGGAGGGTCGAAAGAGTGCCAGTGCTTCACTAAAGGCAGCACCAGTGGGGAGGGAGAGTTGCTGAGCTGGAGACAGTTTAAACGCTTTTCCCTACAGAAGAAGAAGAAGAGAAGAGATTGGATTCATACCCCGCCCTTCACTACCCAAAGGTGTCTCAGAGCGGCTTACAAACTCCTTTCCCTCAAACCAAGTTTGAGTCCAGTGGCACCTTTAAAACAACAAAGTTTTATTCAAGGTGTAAGCTTTCATGTGCACGCACACTTCTTCTTTCCCCTACAAATAGCTCTGCTTGGTTCTCCTTCCCCAGAAGCTCCATTTGACAAGCCTATGTTTACATTATATTTTATTTAAAAGAAATATTACACACACACACACACACACACACATTATTCTAAAGAATACTTTCTTATGTGTGAAGTGTTTTAATGTTTGCTGCCTTTGGAACCCTGAATTTGGTGGGAAAGCAGCACAGAAATGTCTTTTAGAGGAAAAAAGTAAAAACTGCAGCTATATGGATCCTCATGGATCTTCTAGTTTTTTTACCAGTGAACT